GACACAGACCTAATGCAAAATGAGGGTGAGTGTGTGCAAAGGGGCATGACACTCTAATAACCTGCACAATGGCAATTCAAAACAACAACATATATCCCATGACGATCAAATAAAGCATGTAAAGCACTCAACAAATATATCATCTACAAACAAACCTACTTACATAGAAGGAAGGGACTTACCTAGTACTCTCGTGCCAAATGCAAAAGGTTAGTAACACAAAGCAACCAACACTTAGCATGCAACAAGGTATAAATAATTGCACAAAAGGGAAGAGACTCACTGAGAACTCCATAGCCAAGTGTAAAAGGTGAGTATAGCCACACACAAGCAAGTAGGCATGTAAGCATGATGCATGATGAATAAGCATATAATATCAATGATGGATGAGCATGTGAGATGATATGATGAGCAAAGCATGATGCATGTCAAGATATAGCAATATAACTACTTGAAAGTAAAACAATCGAAGCAACCACCAAAACAACAAGTAAACAATCAACTAGCACACACAACAAGCAACAAGGACAAGCAAAGACTCAACAAGAAAAGAAAATCAAAAGTTGAAAAATTCTCCAAAGTTAAAGCATTAGCTCGGCTCTCATGAACCCAGCATATGAAAACCAAAGATTTTGGGTTCGGTCCCAATGGAGTCGCCAATTTGTTGACGACCACTTAAGATTTCAAAATAATGAAAAATTAAGTGTAAAATATAAAAGAAAAGGGAGTCACCACTTGTCCAAATTATAAGGTGAGACAAGTTACCTAAAATAGATTTGTGCAGAGATCGGGGTTCAGGGGTTCGATTAGGAGTAAGGAAAGGCATATGTGCACCTCATAATTCTTTGTTTAAACACAGTTACATACTTTAAAATTGGGGTTTTAATTCAACTTATTTATTATATTTGTATTTAAATCTAAATAAGAAAGCTTGAAAAAGAGATAAACCAAATTGTAACATTTAAAAAATTTTTGGACTGAAATGGATGAAATCAAAGACATACATGCACCGCAAGCACAAATAAAAATTAAAGGGACTAATTTGATTAAATTCAAAACATGAAGAACTAATTTGATTAAGTTCAAAACATGAAGAACCGCTTTGAAAAGAGTTGAGATCCATGGACTAAATTACTTAATCATAAAACTTTGGGGTGAAATTGAGATAAAACAAAAGATAACTTTGACTTTGACCCAAATTAAAGAAAATTGAGAATTGAAATTAATTAATCAAGATAATTAGTTTAATTGAATAATTAATTAAATATTAATTAAAATTAATTAATCATATATATTTATTAATCATTAATTGAGATAATCAAATAAATTTAATAATCCCAAATTAAATTCAACAAATATGATTAATTTATTTTAATTAAGATTAATTTATTTTAATTAAGATTAATTTATTTTAATTAAGATTAATTAACTT